TTCATAAATATAAAAGGCCCCAAATATAAATCCCTCAATCTAAGCCATTACAACATAAACTCATGAAACTATAAATATCAAACAAAAATAACTACCAACATGTCACTACATCAATATCAAAACATATGTTTAGTTTTCATTTCATTATGAATATGTAACCTAATTTATCTTTTTTTTTAATTTGTGAAATTTTGTAAACTTTTATTTTTTATACTCACAATTTTTTATAGTATGGTCATGAATACAAAATTTTAATTAAACTAATTTTTGTTAATTTATAAATTTAAATTTCATATGTAATTAGTAAGTAGATTTCAATTGAAGTCTACTAGTATGGTATTTATAACCTAATTTATATTTGTTACTTTAATTTGTGAAATTTTAATTTTTATACTTCACAATTATTTATACTTTGGTCATGAATACAAATGTTTAATCAAACTAATTTTTGTTAATTTATAAATTTAAATTTCATATATAATTAGTAAGTAGACTTCTATTGAAGTTTACAAAATATCCAAAGTAGACTTCAATTGAAGTCTACTAATAGAGTAGACTTCTCTAGTACAATGTAGACTTCTTGAAGGTTAAAATTGTAATTGTGACATCCGTTTTTTTTTTTGGTCATAAAGGGTGTAATTGTAATTTCACTAATCCCTTTGGGTTACTTTTACCAAACATGAGTTAAAAAGTCTATTTTTGTATTTAAAATGAAATTGTTGGTTATTTTTAGATATTTCCCTTTTTTTATTTGTTTTCTTGATTACTAAACTAACCACATCTTCCTTCTCATTACCACGACACAAATCCTTTCCAAATTACAAAATGAAATTCATAATCTCTCAGTTATAATCTTATAAATACAAACCCCCTCACCTAGAGATCTCCTCAATCTTACACAATATCACTATTATCGACCGACATAATCACTCAAGGACATGTCTCCGAACGTTCTACGGTGGTTTAGCCTCGTCGCTCTTCTCTGGCTTCAGTCTCTCAATGGAACCAACTTGAGTTTCCCTGCTTACTCTTCACAGCTCAAAGAATTTCTCTCTATCTCTCAGTTTAAGCTCAACTACCTCTCCTTCGCCTCCGACGCTGGAAAAGTCCTCGGATTTATCTCCGGAATCGCCGCCGTTTATCTTCCTCTCCCGCTCGTGCTACTCGCCGGAGGTTCTCTTGGTTTAGCCGGCTACGGTCTCCAGTACCTCTCCATCGTCAAGAAGATGTTTACTTTATCGTTTCCTCAGATCTGGCTCTTGAGTTTCTTGGCCGGAAATAGTATTTGTTGGATCAACACGGCCTGTTACATCGTGGCGATCAATAGTTTTCCGGTGAACCGTCAAGTCGCCGTGGGGATCACGGCTAGTTATCAAGGTTTGAGCGGGAAAATCTACACCGACATGGTTAATACCTTTTTTGACTCGTCTCCACGCGAAGCAGCCTCTGGTTATCTTTTCCTCAACTCTCTCGTTCCCTTGGTCGCTTGTTTCGTGACGGCTCCTATGTTGATGAAAGATACGACCAAGCTAGGAGGAGACAAAACGAGGTCATC